AAGAAATTTAGAACTTTGAAACGGTGTTACCTGAACTCTTGAAATCACCAAATGGCCTAATCAGTTGCTAATAACTAGTGCTTCATATACTAAATTGAGGATAAACAGCACTGGAACTGTGTTTTCAGGGCACTCTTCTTTCTGTTTTTCTTTTGTGGAATCAAGCTCCACAATTTCAAATTTCACTTGCAACACAGCCTATAATTACTACACAGTGACTCTCTGCTCACTCTTATCTCAGGGTAAAGGCTTGGTAATTACTTTGAAGTTAGTAGAAACTGTCTAGATTTGTGTCAGTATGACAGAAAGATTGAGCCCTGCATACAGGATCATACATTCCCTCTCAGCCATGCATGCATATATATTTATATACACATACATGCGCACACTTAAAATAATGTTTTGAAATAGCAGGACCTACAAAACCAGTAATGTTTTTGTCCAACAGCAAAAGAATGCAAATAACCCACTAATTCTAAAACTACACTCCTGTGGTCTGATTCCGATTCAGCCCTCACCATACAAGGCAGGAATTGCACTCCAGGAACCACCTCCTGTTTGGACTGGATTTCTGCAGGTTAGATCAGTATGGAAGGAAGATGTCTCAGCATGCGTAAACTGAAAAATGGAGCCAGGTGGGTTTGCACTGCTGAGACATTCTGTTTGTGCAGCACAGTTGCCATTTTTCAAGTATGGGTAAAAATAAAGGATCAAGTAATCACATGAAACTGCCAGAAAACAACAGAACTCAGTGTATACACGATGAACATAGTGAGGGGGAAAATAAGCAGAAGAAGGAAAAAAATGTTTTGGCAGTGAATGACATGACATTTTGAGTAAGTAGATGCTTATACAGATCAATAGTGTAGACAGGTATTTTTCCTTGATGGGCTGATTACAGTCAACTAATTTCCCATGCAAGATTCCTCATGAATCTTGCATGGGAAGAAGTCTTCCAAGTTCATGGGATCAGAAAAACAAATCTGACCCAACCCTGCAAGCACATTTCTGGTTGAAATCAAAGACAATTTTAGCTGCATATGGGTGGCAAAACTGGGCTGTTGAATGGTCCAGTTGTGCTGCATAGTACTTTCTGCTTGTTCTTTTTTGGCAAGATCCCCAAACAACATCAACAGGGAGTGCATCTCTATCAGGACTTACAGTTTTAGGCCCTCACAGATGAAATCTTCAGAAGAGCATGGATAGTATATCCCCACATGCACTTTTATCTTTTAGTAATTAAGGCAAGTTTGTTTACCTGTTCCTACCATAAAGTGCTGTGCTTCTCCAATAGAAAGATTGACAGCTAAATGAAAACATATTTTTTCTGACCAGAATTTAAGATTTTGCTAGTATTTGTCCCCATTAATGGACAAATGATACAATTTGTCTATTTTTGTTTCTTGTCAGAGGATTTTTTTGCTTTGCTTTTACTTTCTGTTTATTTCCAAATGAGAATTAGAATAAAACTGACACTAAGCAAACATTTCATAACAATACTAACAAACTCTATAGCTCTATACTTATTCATACATACAGGCACACACATACACTTTTTAAAATACAGCAAAGCATTTGCCTTGAGTATACCTCTGAGCAAGCGAAAAGCCTGGTGTGTCTGGTGTGTGTTTGAGCAGGGGACCAGCAGAAACCTGGTGCTGATGCTCTCAGATGCAACAGAATTTCAGCCAGAATCCAAAAAACCCTCAAAACATAAACCTAATTTTCACTCCACCCAAGGATTCAGATCACTTTACTGTACAAGAATGATAGATTAATTCTTTTGACTATATTTGAGCAACTGAAGAATCACAGGAGGAGTCTAGAAACAGCCAACTCCAGCTAAATAGAAAAAAGAGTATTTTACACTACACTGCCAATAAATAAGCAAACATTTTCACATTTTTGTGTAGGACACCCACATAGGTGTGGGTTCAAAATTTATTTTCATGTTTCATTTTGTATGTCTGTTACATAAATTTTACTTGGAGAGCAAGAAGAGAGAAACAAAGTCTATCAAGCCACTCTATAACTTGCTTAGTTGTGGGTGAAAGCATTAAAGTCATACCCCTTGTTCAACAAAACCATGACTTGTGACTCTAGGTAAATTTTTGACATGGTCTGGATGAAACTTAAATGCCATTAAAAACCTAAGTAGCTTAGATCACAGATTTCATTGGGGATGACTTGTACAGTCCTAACCCATACAGAAGAGAATGCTACTGAAAGAGCCATCATGACTTCATAGCAGCTGCATGGGGTTTTTTTAAAATTTATAGTAGTCCTGTCCAGAACCCCAAAGATCATTATGCAAGTGTACAAGGATGCATATGTTATACACATACATTTAAGTGTGTCATTATACTACACATACACTTAAATTATTCTTTATTCTACACTCACATGTACATACACTTTTTCCAAGGCATCCTCTCAGTACAAAACAGCAGGAAGTGTTCTTTTTATTTCACTCTCTAAACTAAAGCAAACAAACCCCCTATAATGCTTGTTACCCATCTCTTCAATGTGGCCATTTCTGAATTTCTAAACTCTGATGGGAGATGGTAGTCATTATCATCTAACAGAAAAGAGCAATGGACTGTATGATGCAATTCTCTCTTCTCACTCAACCAAAAGTTCTAGTAATATCAAGAGAAATTTGACCTTAACTCTATCCCATAAATCCTTACAGTATTTCAAAGAACATTTCCTTGTAAGACGTTATAGCATCTATTGTTTTGTACAGATAAGATGTTTTATTTTCCAAAGTTGTGTACGTGTGTATTGATGTGTCCAGGAGATAAAACTGCCTGTATTTTATCCGGTTAGGTGTCATACAGTTGCAATGCTCTCATTTTATAAATTACTAAGTTTTCCATTTACTTTTTATATATATTTCTTTAAAGCTATGATGATCAGTGATTTTGTTGCTGGAACAGTGCTATTCAGTAGATTTTCAATCTTGTGTTATGCAGTATTATATCCCACAGACAATTTAAGGACTATAGAGTACTGCTATTAGCTAGAATTGAACTACTACATTCTTTAGTACAGGAACTTTTCACTGATGAAATTGGCACTGATTTTTTGTAATCAGTGGAAAAGTGTTCTGCTCATAGCTGCCTTAAAGAGAGGCTTAGACTGCACCAATTTTTAAGTGCAATTTCAGTGTTGCAGAAATCAGGTTTCCACCATGGGACAAAATACTGCACATGTTAGAGAACGCACAACTCACCTTATGCTCAATCCATGCTAAACACAGTCGTTTTCATACTCAGGACATGGGATCAGGCTCTTACATAAGATTAATCCTGGGAAGAAGTGGGGCTCAAAGCTGGCCTAACTGTGTTCCTGATGGAACCAGGGAAAATGTGGACCAGCAGCTGTCCCTTAAAGGTTCAACCAGTGTTATTTAATAACTTCATTAATGGTGTAAATGAAAGAATCAAGTGCACCCTCAGTAAATTAGCAGATGACACCAAGCTGAGTGGTGCTGTTGACACACCTGAAGGATGGGATACCATCCAGAGGGACCTGGACAAGCTCGAGAAGTGTGTCCATAGGAATTTCATATGGTTTAACAAAACTAAGTGCACAGGCACCCCCTGGTAGCAGCACAGGCTGGGCATGAGCAGCCCCAGAGCAGCCCTGCCCAGGAGCGCTTGGGGGTGCTGTGGGTGAGAGGCTGCACATGCCCCGGCCATGGCACTGCCAGCCCAGAGAGCCAAACATGTCCTGGGCTGCATCCAGAGCCCTGTGGGCAGCAGGGCAGGGAGGGGATTCTGCCCCTCTGCTCTGCTCTGCTGAGACCCACCTGGAGCACTGCATCCAGAACTGGGCTCCCAGCATGAAAAGGACACGGACCTTTTGTAGCAAGTCCAGAGGAGGCTGTGAAGTTGATTAGAGGGATGGAACATCTCTCCTATGAGGAAAGGCTAAGAGAATTGGGATTGTTCCATCTGGAGAAGAGAAGGCTTTGGGGTGACCTAATTTTGGCCATCCAGTACCTGATGGGAGTCTACAAGAAAGGTGGAGAGAGACTTTTTATAAGGACATGTAGTGACAGACGAGGGGGAATGGCTACTGAGAGTAGGTTTAGATTAGATATTAGGAAAAAATTCTTTGCTGTGAGGGTTATGAGGCACTAGAACATGTTGCCAAGAAAAGCTGTGGATGCCCCATGCCTGAAAGTGTGTAAAGCCAGGCTTTGGATGGAGCTTGGAGCAACCTGGTCTAGTGAAAAGTGTCCTGCCAATTGCCAGAGTGTTGGAACTAAATGATCTTTAAGCTTCCAACCCAGGCCATTCTGTGATTACAGAGTTAGGCCAGTATCACATACCTGCTGGCTTGACCTGAGGCAGAGACATTGGAAAACCCCATTTTGAGAATGAAAAGCAAGCAAGATTTCATCTGTGCTTTGTGCAAGCTACACAGTACATGATGTTTACCACTGATTATGGTACATAGCATGTCATGTTTACTGTCCACTGATTATGCATGTGTTAGAAGCATGACTTTGGATTTACATCACAAAGGCATTTAAACCTGCAGCTCATTGATAAATATGATCAGTTAAACCACCTAACAGATGAAATGTAGCAGCTTAAAATTTTTGTGCCAGATATACTGTCCTCAGTCTCCTGGTGCAATGCTCACACCACTGGGAATCCTGCTGTGAGCAGGAAGAGGACAATATATACATCCCCTTGCTCTGAAAACAACAAATTTCTTGGCACTGTTCATAACCACAGAAGACACATGAATCACATTTGGTACCTCATGGAGAACCTGTAAATGGCCTTCTTTTATCAAACACTGTAAACATGTTTAGTTTTGCTCTTCACACTAAACACAAATATGAATAATGATCATAAATGATGAAAACATTTCCCTTATGCCCACCCACTAAAGCCCTAAACACCTCAGTGTGTTACAAGAAGATGAGTGTTTTACAATATAATCCTTTTAGAATACAATCTTTCTTTTTTTTTTTTTTTTTTAATTCTGAATAATGCAACAACACACATATCACAGTACTATCAAGTAGTGTCATCTTCACCTTCATCCAGAGAATAGTTGAGCTTTATGACTGTGCTGATAAAGTCACCAAGTTCTACAAAATCTGCAGTGATAATATTCACACCACTCTCTCCTGCTTTCTGAGTTCGGACCCACTCCATCATTGCAGGAAGAGCCCTAAGGAGAAAAGAGGAACAATAATTACTCATAAATCAATGAGACAAATGCATCAAGGCAGGATTTACTGACAGTGTCTCCCACTGATCTTACTTGGTTCCTAAGGGAAAGAAACCAGGTGAGACAGGACACAGGTTACTGCTCAAGCTCTTCAAAAACTATTTTTAATTTTCATTCTCTGGGAAAATAATATGTTGATTGCACTTCAACTTCTCAGTGGAAAAGAATGGAAGGAAGATAATGCAGGCTTAAGAGTAATTATTGATTGTGCCTAGGCACAAGGCAAAATTGGACCATGGACCAGATACTTTTTGATATATCTGGCCATAGGACTCCAAGGGAATTGTTTATGGAAAAACCAGTAACAGAGAACTCAAGCCATTTGCAAAGCATGTTTGATACACTCAAGGAAATGCTGAAAATTGTATTTTGAGGAACACAGAAACAACCATGATTCCTACAGTATAAGTACAGCATATACCAAAAACCCTTTCTTCACCAGTACTGATACCCAAGCCATTAATTAGTTAGACTTAATCATAAACCAGTGGTTGGTAGCTGAAACAGAAAGCATCATAGTCATATCAACTCTTTTCTAAGATTCTAGATTTTAATTATGTCAGATCCTTAGCACAGGAATACTGGGGTCTAAAGGATATCTGCCTAACTGTGCTTCTGAGTATAAAAAATTTTTGTGACATTTTTCTGCGGAAATACAAACTAACAATCACAAGAAACATCTGTGAGAAAAATAAAAGGCTCCTTAGTCCTGCTGAGGCTGTCAAGCAGCAACATCCAGTTTTTAGAAGAAAGAAGTTAACAGAGTTCCAAAAAATAAGGTACACATTTTTCAGAGAAAGGGTATTTTTTCAGAGAAAGGGCATTTTTCAGAGAAAGGGTAATTGACCATTGGTACAAAATCCCAATGACTGTGACAAACTCTGCAGCAGTCTTTAAATCAAGCCTGGCTATCATTCCAAAATTATACTTTTGGTCAACCTCAAGCTGCTGAGTTAAATAAAAGAACCTAAAGTCTGGGCAGGGCTGCAGTCAGTTTAGCGAACATTGTGTTCTCCTTTTGCTCTAAGATCTATAAATCTGTGATTTCCCCTAAACCAGCATGTTGTGCAGTCTTTTTCACAGACACAAGGTACATGGAAAATTTTGGTCTGACAGTAATTTAAATGAAGGTGAACATGTTGAACCTATATCTTTTCTCAAAAGCTTTAGGAAAGCAGATCTAAAGAAAAGAGAACTATTAGCAGACAGAGATTGTACTTGTCAGTGGCTACTAGAATCAGTCAGTTTTAAAAATAATTTAATACAGAATAAAACCCCAATAGCTAAAATTATTCCTCTCTGTGATTTCACGGGAGAATACCAAGAGGAGAATACCTCTCTGTGATTTTACAGGAGAATACCAAGGGTTTATTTCACCAAAATGTACTTGAATCTACTGTAAGATCCACATATCAGCAATACATTTTATTTCAGGCATTGACTCAGTATGATTGAAGCACTTGTATGTATGCACACCAGCTCATAAAACCATTCTGCTCTTTATGAACCCAGCCAGCACCTTCAGATGTAAGTTTATGTAATCCTGGAAAGCTGCACTCTGTAGAACTGTAACAGGGCACAGGTCAGGTGTTAAATACCTGGCAATGCCTGGACTGCTTGAAAAGATCTGCAAGCAGAACCAGGACAGATCTCAGCAGAACAGCATAGACCACCAAGGTGACAAAAAGCAGCTCAGAACAGCTTTAAACTCCACTGCATCTTCACATGTGAAAGGTACTGCTGATCTCTGCACAAAGATACAAGGTCGAACCTACGAGATGGCAGCATGTTGCTTTTGTATTTATTACCATCCTATTTAAGCCCAAAGAGCTAGGAGTTTAAAGGTCAACTGATTCATTGTAGGCAGGCACAAACCTCCCTCCCTCCCTCCCTCATAACCTTAATATTTTACTCCCCTTTGAGGCATAATTAACTCCTTTTGGTGTCTTTTACTTGTTCTGAAGCTGGTTCTGATGCCATTCTTTCTTCACACCGTACAGTTTGCTATCCATACACTTCTCCATATTGACCAAAATACTATTTTCGTTTTCCTAATGTGTTCTTAGTAAGTCAGACTCCACCAAAAAGTTATGCCTCCTTTTGATTAGTGCTTTATCCTAAAGTCAGCCTGCCTTGCCATTTCATCCACAGTTGGCTTGGTTATTTGAATGGGTTATTTTTATTTTACTGATATTTCACACAGGACACAGTTGCATGACCCTCTGCTCATATATAAATTGCTAGATAAAGTCACAGAAATCTTTTGTTCATAAGACTAGAAAGCATTTAAAGATAAGTCAGAAATTAATCACATTATCAAACAAAAAGCTTATTTGCATAGCAAAGCCAAATAACAGAATCAATAGCTCTCTTTATGACAAAAGTTAATACAAAAACCATACAGATGATCTCTTCCCCATGTGCCATCTTGAGAGTGGATTAAACCAATGACTTTAAAAACCACACGTTGCTCAGTTTCAGTGTTTATCTCAAATGCTCACAATAATTATTAGAATAAGCCTGCTTTAATATTCCTCGGGGTGCCTTTGTGGTAGCACTACAAATCTTGTTCACCCTGCCTTATAATTTCCAAATTGTGCCTCAAACTAGTGATTGTTCTCACCAAGGGTTTTACTCTGGTGAAAAATCCACCTACATGACTGAGCTCACAAAAGACCAATATGTACCATAGTCTTCATAGATATTCTTATGTGGCTCTCTGTCAGACATGGGGGAAGCTTCTAGAAGCTTCTCACAGAAGCCACCCCTGTAGCACCCCCCTCTCTATCAAAACCATGCTACTCAAACCCAACCCATCTTGCTGGATAGGTAAGAAATTATTTTATGCACGAGCATATAGGCACAAGCCTCTCAGTCTGCAAACCCTAGGAGCATCACTGCCTCTGTGTTAGGCAGGTCCTGGCTCTCCTATGGAGGATATCTTTAGGGTGCCTCCCACAGCTGGTACAGTCCAGTCCATATGGCCAAATCCCAGCTCTCACAAGGAATCATTTCTAACCCCTACAGGTTCCAAAGCCACCACGTTACCCAGAGCCACATGCACAGAGGGTGCTGCTTGTCTTTGCACAGAGCCAGGGAGCAGAGTAGGTGTGCTCCTCCACAAGAGCTGTGCCAGGAGAAAGAGACGAGTCCTCTCCTCTTACCTCACTTCCTGGGGCGCTGTTTTCATTCTGCTGCAGTTCCCCTGACCTGGCTGGAGTTGGCCAGATCTGATCCTGCCAGGCTAGTGCAGCACTGCCCCAAAAATCAGCATCTGAAGTCAATTAGTTTTTCCACATCCCTGGTGGAAGCAGAGGGGTTAATGGAAACAGTAGTCTGGGAGGGCAAAGACACAAGACTGGGGAGCTTGAGTGCTGGCAGGGAAGGTGGTGAATGACACGCTACCTCAAATTGACTGTGGATTAAGATCAGTAATCTTGTTGATAAATTTTCTGGCCTGAAGGAGTGTGTAGAGTATCTCATTTCTTTTCACAAACTGGAAATAAGGAGGTGCCAGACAGCTGCCCCTCACTGCCAGGATGGTGGGAGTAAAGCCATGTGACTGACTGATGTGGAAGGACCTCATGGGAAGGGCTGTGGTCCAGCCCCAGCCACCACCACTGCATCTCCCCACACGCAAACAGATCCTCCACCCGTGACACCCAGCAGCCTTCTGGAGCAGCATTTCCACCTGCCAAAGACTGCACGAGTGGAGGAGATCTGGGTGGTAGGGACCTACCTGTGCTGGACAATGCAAAGTCACACAGAGATACCTCATGTGCCTGTATTTCTTCTGAGATCTCAGTTTTCATCTCAGGTGGCACCTCACTAGCTTAGTCAGAGGTACTCATAACTTGGGCATAACCTGGGTATCAGGATGGTTTACACCATGACTGCAAGCATGCCTTACATCACCATTCTCGGTCTTTTTTTTTTTTTTTTTTGAGGGGCCATGCACTTTCTCATACAGCACTGCTACAGCAATTTTCACTTACAACACAGTAAAATCTAGGCTCAGCTTTGACACTTATTTTATTACCTCTATTTTCCCTGTTCTGCTTGCTTGCTTATATAAGCAGAAATGTGCACATATTTATTTTTAAGTTTTTCTCCTCTTTCAGGAACCATTTTCTGATGTATTAGAGATCTGCTGAAAAATACTGACCTCAACTGCAAAACAGTCATAGCCATTTTTAAAGTAAATGAACATTCAAGACCTCTTTCTTCTTTTTCTTTAATCTATCAAAGCTCTCAAGTGACTTTAATGGTATTGAGTTTTGTTCAAAGATAATAATTAAGCATTCAAGTTGCTTCAGTTCAAGCAGTAAAATCATGAGTCCTATTAAAAGCTTTCTGAAAGAAAATATGACCTAATTATTTGTATTAAGATTTGCTTTTTAAAACTGTTGTTAGGCTATTTTAGCTCAGAAAGAGGTTGGTTATTTGGTTTTTTTAATGCCTGAGTCACGAAAGCCCAACAGTGTGACAGAAGACTAATGACAGCAGTGCTGTAAGACAGGACCTCCTGTGGCGGAACAGCCGTTCCTCTCTGCAGAGCTTTCACAGGAGAGGAGAAGGAAAAGCAACTTTCACAACACAAAACAGAATGGCTATTCACTGTTTAAGGACAGTTTGATCACTAAAAGGAGAGAACACGTTTTCTTCTGGAGTGCAGGGAGTCAGTACAACCTAATCCACAGTGAGAAATTGGTCCCATTCTCAGGGTGTGATGCTGCCGCGCATTAAGTGCCCGTTCCCAGTAAAACCAGTGAGAACTGCAGCAGGTCTCCATGCTCAGGGCAAAGTGACATGTGGCATTTCTTCCCTCTCCAGTGAAGCACACATGCTGCTCTCTGCAGTCTTTTGCAAATAGGTGTTGTGGCTGAACAAAACCAGTACCCCTTTGCACGAGGCTGTGCTTACACGACTCTGACTCAGAG